AGGCTGAGTACACATTTCCAGAGAGCATTTAAACCAGGAGTTCTGAGGGGCAGGTCCCCCTGCCCCTCAAGGAGGCTGCTCTGTGTCAGCATCTGACTTTGAGGGCGGGGTGCAGGGCCTGGGGGGCAGGACTCAGGCGTGGGGAGCAGGGTGGGAGAAGGTCTAAGTGAGGCTTGCCTGGCCATCACTGCTGCCGCTGCTAATAACCCTTCAGCCTGATACGACCATCTGCATCCACTAGTCGCCGGCCCTCTTCTGAGCCTGTTTCCTCCCTCTAAAGCGGGGTAAGTGGCCTGTTCTGAGGATCTGGTGAGCGGAGGTTTGTTGCAGGTATGATCACCATCACCTGATTGCTCATCACCATGACCACATCCCACCAAGGACATATAGGGTCCCACAAACTGTTATGTGCTGATCCCAACTGCTGAAACACCTCTTGGGTCTCTCTGGGGTTTTAACAAACTGCTGTCCTCTCTCAACTTCACTCTTCCAGTCCTATGCCCGTCCCTTAGGACAGAGCTCTCGGTCTTTCTTCTGAGTGGGAGGGGGGAATGCAGAGAGCGCTCGAACCACTCCCAGTGCTGTGACACCACCCATCCCAGCCTCCCTTAATTACACACTAAGTGGCAGGCACTGTGGAAGAGCCTTAACTGCACGAGCCCACGTCCTTCCCTAAGAGGCAGGTGTTACTATTAACACCCCCATTTTACAGATGAGGCAATTGAGGCTTTGAGAAGCGAAAACTCCTGACTCCGGATAAGTGACGAAGCCAGACTCCATCGAGGTCTGTGGGACTCCAGGCAAACCTCTTTGACTGTGCATCTTAATGCCTCCTTGCATCATGGGATCCTGGGGGCGGGGAGGCGGGGGCCCACCAGCAGCAGCAAGCCAGAGACTAGGTCTCTCATCTCTATTTTCTCTGGACGGCCTTTTGAAAAGTCTTTGGGGAGCGGGGAGAAGCAGGCAATTGCCCACAGCTGGGGAAACTTCTTTACGCCTACTGTGCACCTGCACAAGAAGAGAGTTAAGAAAACAAAACTCCTGGTTTTGTCAAGTTCCGGATTGCCATTTTGATCTCTGGGCAGAACTCTCCTGTGGTGCAGACAGGCACCAGCGAGGGTGAGGGTGTGGTCCCCTGGACCAGGCTGCCTGGTTCAGCATTTACTAGCTGTGCAGCCTTATGCAAATAAAATAACTTCACCTCTCTGTGCCTGGATATCCTCAGCTGTGAACTGGGGTCATCACTGCACTGGCCTCCTAAGCGCTTGGAACTGTGCCCGGCACGTCAGAAGGGCTCTGTTTGCTAGAATGGCTTCTGTGCAGCAAGCTAGGCACCTCCCCTGCTCACCCCTCCCCTTGCATTTCCTTTCTTAGAGGAGGAATGTGAAGCAGACAACACCTTCCAGACGGCTAGACCTCAGTGCTGGCTCTCCCTCTCACTTGGCACTGAAGCCAAGTCACTCACTCGGTTGGGCCTCAGTTTCCTCATCAATAACATACACTGAGGAGGCGTGCTCTTCTGGTCGCAGAATAATTTCTCAAAGATATCCACGTTCTAATCTAACCCATGAATATGTTACCTTCCACGGCGAAAGAGATTTTGCTGGTGTGATTAAATCAAGGATTCTGAGATGGGGAGATGACCCGGGATTGTCTGGTGGGCTCAAACACAAGGATTCATATAAGAAGGAGGCAGGAGGATCAGAGTCAGAGAAAGAGACGTGATGACAGAAGCAGAGGTTGGAGTGACGTGAAGCCAGGAGACAAGTATGCAGGAAAAGGCAAAGAAACGGACGCTCCCCCAGAAGGAACACAGCCCTGCCGACCCCTTGATGAGACCCATTTGGACTTCCATTCCCCCAAACTGAAGGTAATACATTTGTGTTGCTTTACGCCACTAAACTGGTGGTAACATGTGGCGGCAGGAAACTAATCATGTGCAATGCAACTTTCTTAAGAAGAAAAAAAGGCATTTCTCTCCTGAGCTCCATGAGCTTTGGCTCCTTTCTCTCCCACCGCACTGGCCAACCTGTCATTCCCTGACTCCGAGCGGGTGTCGTGGGGACCCATCACCTCTCTGTGCAGCCCTTTCCCTGTCTGTGCAGCTTCATCCGTCAGGGCCAGGGCTCCTTGGCTGGGCTGACTCAGAGGCGGGTCATGCCGCATTAATCCTCAATTAAAACGTTAATCAAAACGGATCCAGCCATTAGGCTGGCCCAGGTCCTGGCATGCTGGCTCTCTGTGAGATGCTGTGCCCGGGTGCAGAATCTGTCTTTCCTGACTACCTCCTGTCCACCCTGGTTACAGTCCAGCCATGCTGGACCTCAGTCCTCCTTCCTGTGAGCTGGGGCGCCAGTCACTGGGTAAGGGGAATATATTTGCTGGGAGCTGGGTTCTTTCCTCCTTCCCCCACCTGCTCCCAAAGAGAGAACATGCCAGAGTCCCCCCGCCCCCATAAAGAAGACAGAGGCAGCCTGGGGAGCCTCCCTGCTCTGTTCCTGGCAAGATAACACCACGTGCACGTTTGCCTTCCACCAGGAGGTGCTTTGGGGTGGGAGCCAGAAGGTCCCTTTCAGTTTGCCTCCTTGCAGCCCCCAATTTGAGAACAGGCTTGGGGAGCAGTGAGGACCCTGGGGGAGCAGGAAGGGGACACCTGCTTAAACAGTCCCTCGTTTCTTTTTCCTTAGGAAGTGTTAAGGCTGCAGTGTCTGTGCTGAGCAGGGCGGGAAGGGAGGCGGGAAGGAAGGAGAGCGGGGTTGTGCCCCCTGCCCTGGGAGGCAGGTGTGAGGAAGTCCCCACAGAGCAGGGGAGAAGCCGAGGCACCAGTCAGCTCCTCTCTGTAGCGCAGTCACCGTAGGCTCTGATTTTGTTAGACTTCTGCTCTAGGACAAAAGTGGCCAATGGTGGTTGAGTGCTTGCAGCTAGACTTGCCTTTCCCTTTTTATTAATTCTATTTAGAGTGGCTTCTCCAAGCCGCCATTTTCCACCCTGGGGCTCCATCTCTGGGTTTAATGAGTCAACCAAGAGTAGATTCCCAGACCTCTATATCTTTGGCAACCGGAAATGTCTCTTCCTCACATTTGGAAAGGGGATGTGGAGAAAGGACAGCCCAGTCAAGACACCTTTTAGGGGTCTCGGGGGTTAATTCCTCAGTCCCAGCTTGAGTCTCTTAGCCCTGCACCCAGGACACATCTCTCTGCTCTTTTGTTCCCTGGGGCAACCCCCTCACCTCTTGCCAGAGCCCAGCTGTGTGTCTGGTGCAGAGAATTCAAAATGGCAGTGGGACGGGACCCTAGCCCCCAGATCTGCCCCATTCAGAGTCCAGGACTCCCCCAGCCTGGGTTCTCAGTCAAGCCTTGGTACATAATCAAGGCTGTCTTTTTCCAGTACACTCACGGTCCCCTGTGGGTTTGGAGTGTGTCCCAAGACAGACATCTTTCCACTGGAATGGGCTGGCTTAGGGCGTGAGTGATGAGGGCAACCCCCAGGGGCCATCCTCACCTGTCTTCAAGCACACCTTCCCTCCCTCCCTGCTCAGCAGGTGCCTCTGAGCTCCAAGACAGAGAACTTGCAGGTCAGGCTTAGATCTGACAGGTCCTGAGAAGTCTACTCAAGAAAGCTGGCATGCCTTGGCCCCTCCCTTGGCTCCAGCACTGGGTCCGAATCTCCAGCAGAACCAAACTTTCCTTGCTCTGGTGAGGCTCCCCAAAGTGTCTCTGATTGCAGTCATGTGTGTGTGGGTATTAAACACACCCTAGCGACTAAACCTCTGCTTAGATTCACAGAATCAGGAGCAGCCCCCCCTCCTGTCCAACACACACAATGAATCAGAGCAGTTCCTGCTCCCTCCTCTCACCTCCCCTGCATTGATCTCAAGGTGTCAGCCAAGGGGGTCTCTGCATCTCTCTCATTCACCTTGGTGACTTTGGTGCCAGGCACCCTTTCTGAGCTTAAGAATAGCATAAGTAAATGCCTGCTGAATGGACAACTTAACTAATACACCCCATTGGTGGGAGCCTGCCCTCATTAGAAAGATCAGTGTTTCTCAATGCCTTCCCCATTATTGCCCACCCCTAAGGAGTTTTCTAAAGACCTTTTCTTCTTATCTAACAACCTATTCCAGCCTCCCCCCTCCCCTTGAGAATGAATGCAGTAGATGAACCAAGGGAAGGCCATTCTGCAACCTGTCCAGTGACCTGCTTATGCACATGGGGGCTGTTCTCCAAGCTGCAAGCCAGCTTTCATCCTATCCCGCCCCCAACCCATCCCTCTCTTTCACAATTCTCTCCCCAGCACAGGGCCTCAATAACTGTTCAATGAACGAAATAATGAACGCTGGGCACTTGGTGTGGTGAGCTGCACATAGTAGGTGCTCAACCAATCTTTATCCAATCCATGAATGAATGGATGAATGAATGAATGAACTTCTCTTTTCCTTCCTCACCCAAAGATTCCAGTCTATCCAGGCTGAGCCCTTTGGGGTAGGGAAGCCCTGAAGGCTGAGGAGGCGACCTTCCCCTCCGTGAACAGAGCTTTCTCGGAGTCCCCAGCGCCTAGCACACAGTAGGCGCTCAATAAAAGTTTGTGGCAGTAATGAGTGACTCAATAAAGCCCACTGATGGGATGCTCCATCATGTGCCTAAGGAGTGAATGAACCAGTGACAGACGCCCCTCTACCACCTCCTCCCAACACTCCCTCCTCCCAGGATCCTCCCGCGAGGCCGTGAGAAACGTCCGCCACGGCCAGGAGGTGACCTCCTCCCGCCCTGTCACTTCGTACCCCGGGGACCCCCGGGAAGCACCGTGACCATGGCGAACGCGCTCCACGCCGCAGCCCACAGCTGCTGCCGGGTCCTCGGTGGCCTCAGCCGCTGCCCTCATCGGCTTTCGGGGTCCCCCCGGGGAAGCCGGGGCCACGGACACGTGCAACCCCCCCCCCCCGAGCCAGAGTCCGCCCGCCCGGCGGCACCCGGCGAGGCTGCAGCGCGCCAAGTTCCCACCTCAAGTTCGCGACACGGCGTCCCCTCAGCCGAGT